ATGTACATTTGGGCTGTTCTCTTTGGTCAGTTTTGTTCATGTGTGTATTTTCAAGAATTTGTACTTTTTCTCTGGGCAGAGGGTAGTAAGAGGGGTACAGATAGAAGAGGGGATCTAAGTATGATCGAAATATATGAAATTTGCAAAAAATTCATTTAAAGTCTGTGTCCCTGGAATGGACTCTTATATTAAACCTGTCCCACCCACAGCTCAGGGACCATTGTGGAAGAGGAGGCAGAAAGATTATAAGATCCAGGGCTGGTCCATGCACATAAAGCAGAGTCTTTCAAATCACCAGACACTTATACATGTGAACTTGTGGTAATAGTGGCATTGAGCACAGGACCCATGCCAATTCAATCATACAAGGTCCCAGAGTGGAGCTAGGGAAATGGGTGGCAGGTCAGCCCAAGTCTGTTAACTGTTGGAGTCTGATTACTGGTGTTAGGAATAAACTCATGGCCTCCCACATGCTAGGTGAACTCCCACATGCTAAGTGATTACTCAGCAGTTCTCCTAGTCCTGGTTAAGATATTTTGTATGATTTAAATCTTTATAAATGTATTTGAAAGTTTTTTTTTTTCTGGTATGACATGTGGTTTATTCTGGAAATGTTTGTACACAGCAGAGAATCCACTGCTCCTGGTTCAGTGGTGTGCATATCTGCTGTGTCTTCTTGCTTCATTGTGCTTTCCACATCCTGTATTGCTTACTGACCTCTCTCTCCATTCTCTTGATAATTGGGGTGAACCACTGAGATCTTTGTTATTGTGCTGCCATTTCTCCCTTTAGTTTTGCAATTTTTACTTTACATATTTTGGCCTTCTGTTTTAGGCATCTATATTTACACTTTCTTAATTGGTTCTCATTAATATGCAATGTCTGTTTTCTAAATATTGTTCAGTTAGAGACTGTTCTGCTTGTTTTTATGGCAGAGATATCTATTTTTTTGCATAAGACAAGGGCATGAACTAAAGGAGAGTTTAGTGGGTTCTGTTGCCCTCTACCAGACCTGGATGTGTGCTGATATTTTGATTTTCTAAACACCGTGTCAGTGGAAAGCAAATGTTAAGGAGTTCCCTTAAATCCTGGTTGTCTATGGTTTCTGATTGATAGTCACATAGAAACATGTACACGGTGCTGGTAGTTTACACTATGATATTTTGACCATATATCAGAGTCCTGGCTCTGTGAACTGGCTCAGGTATGGGAGTCAACTGAGTAATAACTTTTAATTTCACTAATATTGAATATAAACCTTTCTTGGTTTTTATTTTTTTTTATTTTTATTTTTTTTGGTTCTTTTGAGACAGGATCTCCCTATAGCCCCAGCTGTGCTGGAACTCACTATGTAGACCAGGCTGGCTTTGAACTTTTTACTTTTATACTTTTAATTATGATTGGTCTTTTCTCTGGCTTTATCACCTGTTTTGCTATGAGACTGTGGTCTCAGAAGAAATCCAGAAATTTCTTAACTATTGTTGGTTTTCAGTTTGTTGTTTTTCAGTCTGTCTCTTAAAGTGAAAACACCTTTAGATCTATGTTATATAAATCTTTCAACATTAATAAA